TTTTTAGTAATTTTTATATATAGTTGAAATCATGAGTCAATTGTTAGGTCTTATGTTTGAATCTTGCGAGGCGGGATCGTGGATGCGCACTGCTGAGGAGTCCCACAATGGGACGAAACGGCCGTCCAGTGCTTCCAGGTTTTCCATGGTGATCTAGCTTCAATTAACTCATGATTTCAACTATATATAAAAATTCTCAATTGTATCAAAAATATAATACTGAATATAGCTAATAATATCTAAGTATTTATATAGATTTTTAAACGTACGATCTATTATTCGTCGTTTTCTAAACCTCCATCTTTGTCTTTGTAAATGTTTCTTAATTCTTTTAACTGATGTTGACTTTCGAATACGTTTTCTTTTACGTATTCCTTTAAATGAAAAACAAATAAAAAATAAAACAAATAAAATTAAGCAAAATAACAAATAAACAAATCAAATAACAATAAATTTCTACATAGTTACTTGGTTAACTTACTTACTTACGCCTGTTACCCCTCGTGGAGGAGTATAGGCTGCACACCAGTATTCTCCGTTCAACCCTGTCTCGTGCAATCCTTTCCAGTTCCTTCCTGTTGTTATTCATATTTTTCATATCCGTTTTTATTTCCCTGTGCAATGTGTGCTTTGGCCTTCCACTTTTACGCTTCCTCTCCCATAAAACGATGTTGCTGATAGTATCCAGCCAGTGAATGTTGATTATTTTGCGTAAACAACTGTTCACAAATACTTGTACCTTCTTGACGATGGATGTGGTAGTTCTCCACGTTTCAGCTCCGTACAGTAGAACTGTCTTGACGTTCGTATTGAAGATTCTCACTTTGAAATCGGTTGACAGTTGTTTTGAGTTCCATATGTTCCTCGATTGTAGAAATGCTGGCCTTGCTTTGCGAATACTCGCCTTTACATCTGCATCAGTGTTATATCCCCTGGTGAATTATGAATGATAACTCTAAGGACTATTTATCGACCAATGTATTATGCCTATTTCTTATTGTACAGTTGTTACGTAACTAAATTATTCATATTCGTTTTCTCTTATCATTAGCTTTATTTTGATCTTTGATTTATGATCATACGATTATTGAGTTATAATCAGTTTATTGATTACTTTGGTTTGTATAAAAACCCAGTGTGTTTGTAAATAATGATTCATATTGCTGAGGCTGTTATTTGTGTTCTGGACTCAACTGGCTGGGCTAGGCAGTTAGGAAGGACCGAATAGCAATCAAGACTGCTCGTACGTATTTTCTGTATCATTGCACGTTTCATATACATTAACGAGTTGTTATACGAGACATAACAATTGGCGACGGGGATTCTGAAAAAAAAATACAGCAGCCGCTGACGTCATTTTGGAATTAAATAATCCATAATAATTGCCGGTGTTTTTTTTGGATTTATTATTATTATTTACATTTTAAAAAATGGCCTTAACTTCCGACCAATTTCAGTTGCTAATCCAGCGACAAGAGCAGCGCTTCAGAAAGAGTCAATTGGATTTCATTGACAAATTACACGCGAAGCTGCTGAATCACCCATGCTTTGGGGGTGAAACGGAAGTTGACGCAATAATTTCAAAATTGCGTACAGAGCTGGAAAACGATTACAGAACTAATGAATATGCCGGCGAAAGCCTCAATGAATCCATACAAAGCAATATTTTAAGCGCAGCAGTTATACATGATCAGCCCAGTAACCCAGTACTACCTGTTTCAGAGACATGCCCTGTACACGGTCCAAGTCTTATTAATCCCGAAAACGGACGTGCAAACAATGAATTATCCTATTCACAGAAAGTAAATGTCTTGCAAAATGCTCATGAAATTGCTGCAGTACCCGCCCACGAAGAAACGGGAAACAAATCGAGCAGTATATGGAATACAGTGGCACCAAATGAAATTAATCATGATACGGAAAATGTTTCTAATGAATCTAATGATCAAAATTCTGTAATTGTTCTACCAGATTTAGATTATTTTGATGATTCATATGTTTCTGTTGAATTCTCTTATAAAAATGAGAGAAAAATGTCAGATGTATTCAATGATAATCAAGAATCCAATACAACTCTCATAGATACTGATTATCCTAATGATTCATTATTTACTAATGAGGTTCCGAGTAAATTCAAGGAAACTGTTTCAGAAGAATCAGACGCTGGTGACCTCAAATCGAATGTCGTCGATCCTCACGATCTAATAAGTTCTCGTGGATTTTCAGTTAAATACGACGAATATGTTTTAAATAATGTCACAATAATGGTAACTTGGGTACATGAGGATCCAACAGTCTTTCGTGGGGGAGGATGAATTCGAGAAATTAAAAGTCCGGATGTCAACTCCGGATTTCTCAAAAAGGGGAGGTGTTATATCCCCTGGTGAATTATGAATGATAACTCTAAGGACTATTTATCGACCAATGTATTATGCCTATTTCTTATTGTACAGTTGTTACGTAACTAAATTATTCATATTCGTTTTCTCTTATCATTAGCTTTATTTTGATCTTTGATTTATGATCATACGATTATTGAGTTATAATCAGTTTATTGATTACTTTGGTTTGTATAAAAACCCAGTGTGTTTGTAAATAATGATTCATATTGCTGAGGCTGTTATTTGTGTTCTGGACTCAACTGGCTGGGCTAGGCAGTTAGGAAGGACCGAATAGCAATCAAGACTGCTCGTACGTATTTTCTGTATCATTGCACGTTTCATATACAATAACGAATTGTTATACGAGCCATAACAGTGGCGACGGGGATTTCGGCACAAAAAAAACAATTGTTGTCGGGGTTTTTGGTGCACAAAAAAAAATACAACAATTGTCGTCGAGGATTCTGGCAAAAAGAAATACAGCAACCGAGACGTGATTTGGAAATCAAACAAGCTGTAATAATTGCCGGTGAATTTTCGGAGTTATTATTATTATCAGCAAAAAAATGACGATTTCTTTAGAACAGGCGCTGATAATCTTAGAGCACCGGCAACAACAGATGCTAGCCTTCCAGCAGCAACTATTTGAAACAGTCTTGGACAAGTTTTTCAATAATGGTGCTAAAATGGCCGTCCCAGAAGAACGCTCGGTTGAGGGTTCATTTCCCTTCACATCTGATGGAAAAGGCAAAATGGGTAAGTTGGCCGGTTCAGAACAAGACAATATCTTGCTAAATGCACATGAAACTGCGACAGTATCAGATGTCAAAGAAAAACAAGGTTCCGTAGACAAAGCCCTGAGCCCAGAGTCTAATGAAGCACCACTCAATCCGCCGATTTCTGAAGACAAACTTCAGTCAGAATTAAACTACAGGTTACATGATTTCGGCCAAGAAAGCTGGAATGGTGCACATGGTTTTGATGAAAATTCTTATGAAGATGAGGAAACTAAGTCGGTTGAATCAAATGATGATCAAAAACCCAAGGCAATTTCATTAGATGATGATTCTCCTAGCTATCAAATATCCTCCAGTGAAAATCTTAATGAATTTGATGGAGATGTTTCAGAAAAGCCAAATTCCGATGACCTAAAATCAAATATCGTTCATCATCATCTATTCATTTCTAATAGATTCTGCATTCAATACGAGAAATGTGTTCTAAATAAAGTCATATTAATTGTAAATTGGAGATATGAAGATCCAACATTATTTCGTGGGGGAGGAAATATTGGAGAATTTCAACTTACAGATAATTTTAAAAAAAAAATCAAAATCTAATCTTCGAATCTTCAAAAAAGGGGAGGTGTTAGGTCGGCTTACAATAAACTCTATCAGAGCCTCCAGAGAGGCTCATAAAGAGACCAACCAATCAGCGATCAGTTAGAAGCTATGCTACTAAAATGCTACTAAAATAACAAGGTCCTGATTGGCTGTTAACATATTGCTACTATGGAATCTCAAGGTCTTTCTAATTACTATAAAACCCCTGTTTTTTCTGTACATAATCGAACCTTGTAGTAAAGTGATTTCTCTGTAATCGTGTCTTCTTACTGGTCTTTCAAGTCGCTGAGTAGTGCTAGCCTGGGGTTATCCGAATAGCTAGGATCCGAATAAAGCAGTCAACCTACAAGACATAACAATCAGATCCTCCTTGTTCATCAATGATGCTTCCGAGATATGTGAATGTTTCAACGTCTTCCAGAGTTTCGCCATCAAGTGTGATTGGGTTGGTGTTCACCGTGTTGTATTTGAGAATCTTGCTTTTTCCCTTGTAAATGTTGAGGCCTATTGATGCAGAGGCTGCTGCTACATTTGTTGTCTTCGTTTGTATTTGTTCGTGTGTAGGAGATAGGAGGGCTAGGTCATCTGCGAAGTCCGACTTTTGGTTAAACAATCATTAATAATTATTGAAAATTGGAAAGCTATATTATAATATTATCATCAAGTGATCATCTATGATTCAAATAATTCGGTAATAGAACTCTTTATTAAATCAATAGCTTATACAACATAATAAACTTAGAAAGAATCATCAATCTTTTGTATGAATCTAGGAGCATTTTAGTGACCAGTGTATCATAGCAACTATTCTACAATCAATTCCCATTATGGTTAACTTTGGTTAAGCTCTTTTATTAACTCACTTAACAGAAATTGTCATTTGGACAGTAACAATTTACACATACCTTTGTACTGTTATGACCACTAGAGCGTATGACAGACTGTAGCCAAAATGTTGATTGCTTAAATATAAACCTCCTCCACATATATATATGCACTCAAATCCTATTATTAACTTTTGCTTTGTCTTGCTGCGACCTTATACAATTTGACTATAAATTTGCTTATGAAATTCCTTGAGCTTGCTCACTGATACTTAATCATGTGCTTGTAGCTTTGTAACCTGTGTCATTTGATAATAAACTGTAGTTGCAGCTTCTCTTTGCCTTCTGATTTCATGCAACGTTAACAGATGAACAATTAGCGAAGCATTGAACTACAGTCTATTGACATAACATTTATGTCTAGGGTTTACTACTGATTGTATATTGCCTCTTTAAAAATGGAAACAATATAATAACTTACTAATACGAATACGTTTCTTTTCATTATCTGTTAAATTGCGTAAATGACCTCTGATTTTGTTCACAATAATTCTCTGTTTAGATTTTGTAGATTTTATTTCATTTTCCTCATCACTCTTTTTTGCTTTAACTCGTTCTAAAAGTTATAATAAAAGAAATTTTTTTATTAAAAAAAACTTTAAAACAATGTTATATATTACTGAAAAAGATGTCGCACTCTACCATACATTAAGTGAATTAAGTTTAGTGAAGCACAGAAATCCAACAAAGTCTAAGCTTGACCACCTCAAGCACGAACTCTTAATCTCTAGACCACTAAGCTGTATTCCAACAATGTTAATGTCTAACTTCAATCAGTCTATGATCTTTCACAACACTTCATTCATTCTCTGAGATGGATAACGGATGTGAACCGCGAAACAAGAAGCTTTAACAAACTACCAAAACTATTTTTCGAGGGGACGTTATTTCATTTAATTCAAAGCTTGTAAAACAGTAACATGTACTTTTGACCCTAGTCTATTCTACAGATCATAAGCTTTCGTTTGATGTATGATTCACTAATATAGCCTTTTCTGTTCCAAAGCTATTGTAATTTAGACATAATCTTTTGTACTTTATTTTCTACTCTAATTCCCCAGTTTTGAACATAATTGTATTTTCCTAATTATTGTAGGTTGTGGTCGGGTTATACATCGATTTATTCATGTATCTATTTACACTAATCTGAAATCGGGTACCAGATCGGAATTGGGAATAAAACGAGTAGAGTTCTAGTTGTCTTGTCTTCTCTCTCGCGCGTACCTGTCAGCCAATCAGGGATAGAATAATTTTCGTCTCTATATCCCCACATCGAAATCCCGCATACTAGCCTCAAGGTTAGGCCAGTAATCCTATCGTGTCAAGGTCTGAATCTACATTAGACAAGTTATCCTCGGAACTAAAGTGGGTAGACAGACTCAAGAACGTAACAATAACTGTCTCCATCCGACACGGATTGAACTCGACTAATAGAAATATTGGTTGTACACTAGTGAAAACCTATTTTAAAAAAAGTAATAAAAGACTAATTCAGCATTCTTTAGTTCTCATGGATTTTTCAACGAATTTCTTTTCATAATGATGAAAAAATAGTTGTAAACACTTACTTATTAATACACGTTTCATATCTTCTTTTTTTCTACGAAGTAAACTTTTCCAATCATTTAATGTATTAGTATCTTCAGTGTTCGCAATCTTTTTTCCTTTTACTCTTACTACAGTTCTTTTATTCTCTTTTAAGTTTAAAAGAAAAGAAGAATGATGAATTGGACTACATTAAATAATTAACATGATAAAGATTAAAATTATGTCTGGAGAGTAACAACAACGACAACAATTTCGAATGGTTACCATTGTTAACCTTGAAAACATAATTATCATTGAAGCGATTAATCTCTTAGTTGGAAAAGAAAAAATTCATTTGACTTTAAAGGTATTCATTCTATTTTATCTTTCACAAAAGTATCTTTAATTCAATAATAATGACTCTGTACAAGTTCAGATTTATTGTTTGTATGTGGGGTTTGTGAAGGTTATAAGGTTTTCATTATTCACAACACAGATTGATAACAGTTAGACGAAAATTAGAAATGAAGAATAACTAGACAATGATAAATCTAAATCATAATACAAACTATGTAATCCAATAATCTTCACAAACTCCCTCCACTGATAATTATCATAAGAACTCTAGTGATTAACTTATAGATGTAATGCAAGGTGTTCTATTGACAAGTCAGAACGGTTATATCCTAACGAATAATAAAAGAATGGTAACAATTAGGAATTACTGATGGACTAATATTATCCGTATATTCTTATTGTATGCCTATTAAACGACTTTATTATATGTATATACACATATTTTCTTCATTATAAGTTTCTATTTGACATATTGACTATTGTCACATGATTTACTAGTCTAGAAATATTCTCAATTATTAGTAAGTTTCTCACAATCACAGACACTTTTGACTTGATCTTGTACAAATGTTCTTTTTCATTCTATGGTATGTTGTGGTCTGATTTTGTTTGTATATAAACCAAATATGTTAGAAATATATGATTCTTATAGTGGAGACTGAAATTGACGTTCTGAACTTAACAGTTAGGGCTAGGAAGAGAAGGGGCCAATAGGGACGCGAAGTTCCTCATACTGATCAATACATCGTTGAGGCGTAAACTGAGCAGCTGATTGGTTTGTGTTACTTTTTGTCTGTGAAGTATGGCTATTGAAAACAGATGACATCAGTAGGCTTTAGGTGTCTTATCATATTTGTGTTCTAAAAGTTACTTGTGTATCGCGAAATGACTGAGTAATCACTGTTGATGTTAGAAGTAGAGAACTAGACAAGGATGGTAGTTGGTTTAATGAGATTGTTAATCGTCATTGACTAAGCTGTTTGCGATAAAGGTAATTATGCTTAAGTATAGATTACCTCAACAGGTAATGTATGCTACTATGAGAGTAGGTTGGAATTAAGCTAAAGACAGCGAATCCAGGATTTCACATTAGTTCATGAAGTCATTGACTGTAGATTTCAGGCATGTTGCTAGATATAAACCACCTGTTCGGGGATAGAACGACCAGTTATTAGAGATTTTGAGTGACAAAGCTCGGAATTCGCTAAAATGACTCAGATGCATTTATTCTTTATGTTACTTTGTCTTGAGTCCCATTATCCCTTCGTAAATATCTTTTCATCCTGTCTTTTGGAAAGATACTCTGAATGTTTAATATTTCTCATTTCAGATTGTTACTACATTATTTTTATTCTTTTAAAATTCATTTCGTTAATTTCGTCTAGTTGTATTAATATGATATGCCAACTTGGTTTAACGCATATCCTTGCTAGGCTCTATGTTGATGATGAAGGACTGTTTGATTATGTTATATTCATTAGACTTGTGAAGTAACCATAATGAAAAAATAACTTACCAGCTTCTGCTGAAGATGCGTTATCTGAATGTATCTTTTCCAAAACACGTTTAATACGTCGTGTGATAATTTTCATATTCGTTTTATTGTTGTTTGCACTTTCTCCTTTGAAATTATTCAGGAAAAAAAAAGTGTGTCAAATCAATAAATTTGGGAAGACTTATATAAAATTTACAGATGACAAAAATATGCACTACAATATATAAAAAACAAAGCAACCAAGGATAATTAGTGATTCTAAGCAAAAATGAATGGTGGCTAGAAATGAAATCCAGAATGCGCGTTTCATCCTATTTGGAACTCGTTAGCTGGATGTACCTGCCTCTCATAGTTGATGTTCACCCCAGGACTCTGGGATGCAGGTACATCGAGCTAACGAGTTCCAAATAGGATGAAATGCGCGTCCCAGATTCCACTGTTAGTCACCATCCATTTTTCCTTAGAATGCTTGTGATATAAGACAATATCCAGGCGATACGCACAGTATGCACATATCCCAATAAGAGACTGATCAATTGCAGTCCTAAACATCAATGGGAAGAATCAAGGAAACAATACCAAGTGAATTTACAATCGATGATTCTTTAAATATTGAATGTTACTTTTATTTATGAATGAACACCAGTTGAAGAACCATAAAAACTATAACGCTACATTTCTTAAAAGTTAAATACTTTTCAGCAGTAGTGTTCATCTGAAATTATTAAAGTTATGTAACCTAAAATGTTAAGGTCGTCCTAACAGGACGAAATGCGGGTCCCGGATTCCACTGCTAGCCACTACCCATCTTTGCTTATTATTCCGTTTTTATTATTTGGATTAAACGATAAACAAATGTCATATTTTATTGTAGAACTATATAACAGTTATTTGTATTTCAATGTTCCGTGTTCAGATCACTAACAATTGTTTAGTATGCATATGTTACTGAATTGTCGGGCTCACACACCAAAAACTTCCCATTAAAAAGTAATCCGCGACTGGCCTCAAGTAGTTGTCCTTTGGGATCTGTTGTCACACTCCCAGGTTGCTAAGGCCACCACTAATTCAGCTTCTTTTTCAAGAAAAAATATTATTCCATAATTTGGACAGCTGATAAGTGACAACCTCCTTCGAACCTCTATCAGCACCCGAGGTCATCTTGTCGATGATCGAATCTCTCCGTCACCTATTAATAATTATTCCATGCCATCTCAGTGGTCTAAAGGTTAAGTGTTTGGGCGCGAGACTGTAGGTCCTTGGTTTGATTCCCTATGATAGTGTCATAAGTTCAAACTCCTGGTGAATCCCATACTACAACGGAACAGTTGTTCAATGTTTCAAGACTTAAAAATATGGTTTAGCTAAGATCAGTTCGTGATTTAAATTATGAAGATTCTAAAATCTCTACAAATTCTCTTGTACAAGCAAATATTTGACATAATATTATACTGTCACACATACCATATCTTATTTTTTTCCTTTTTACAATTCGTCTTGCAAGTCCCTTCTTTTTTATATCAGAGTAGAGGTCTAAAACGGCTTTAGGATTTACTTGCACGGGTAAATCAAATAGTGAGCCTGCAATACAAGCAAGAGACGAAATAAATAGTAAAACAAAAACGATAAAATAGTATACGTATATTCTTATTGTATGACTATTAAACGACTTTATTATATGTATATACATATATTCCCTTCATTATAAGTTTCTATTTGACACATTGACTATTATCAGAAGGGGTTTTTGTGGAGATTTAGTATTTTCATAGTTGAAAGCATGAATCAATTGAAGCTAGACCACCAAGGAAAACCTGGAAGCACTGCTTGTGTGGTTTGAACGCCACTGGTCACTGCTGTTGTGAGATAGGAACTCACTGAAGAAAATTGGTGAACGGTTGCTCAACTTCGTGGATTGGTTGAAGTTAGACATAAACACCATGAGGTGTCGGCTCAGTGGTCTACAGGTTAAGTGCTCTGTCAGGAGACTGGTAGGTTCTGGGTTGTAATTTTACGAGGCGAGGTCGTGGATGCGCGCTGCTAAGAAGTTCCACAATAGGACGAAACGGCCGTCAAGCAGTGCTTCCAGGTTTTCCTTGGTGGTCTACCTTCAATTGACTCATGCTTTCAACATTGACTATTATCACACGATTTACTATTTTTGAGATATTCTCAATTTATTAGTAACAGTTTCTCACAGTCACGGACACTTTTGACTTGATCTTGTACAAATGTTATTTTCGATTGTATGGTATGATGTGGTCTGATTTTGCTTATATATATACCGAATATGTTAGAAATGTATGACTCGTATAGTGGAGACTGAGATTGACGTTCTCAACTTAGCAGTCAGGGCTAGACGTTAAAGCATCAATCGGGACTCTAGGTTGTCTGTACTGGTGTATGCATCATTAGTTTGGTTGTATAAGTCAACGTATCTAAATTGGCAATCGTAATTCTCCCGATAATCGTATAGCAATGAAAGTAATAATTATCATAGTTGCATTCGTGTACATAACTTTGATCAAATTATTAAGAATACAATAATGATTGAAGGTTTTTGTCAATAACTGGAAATGTTATCAGTTATGCAACTAACCTGCTTGATTATTGATAGGTTGATCATATTTTAAATGTACAATGTCGTCTGAATGATTTTTTGTTCCATTTCTCATATTGATTACATTTGATTGTTGAGAATGTTCTACAACTTTGATGATATTTTCATCTTTCAATACTATGATTTGTTATGAAATGAAATTATAACCATAAAAATTTATGTAGAGAAAAGGTAGTTATGATGTGAATAGAGAAACAAAAAAGCTCTGACGGATAATGGAAGCTATTTTTTGGGGAACGCTATTTCACTTCATTCAAAGCTTGTAAAACACTAACATTTATTTTTGTTCCTAGCTACTTCTACAAGCTATAAGCTTTCGTTTGATGTATGATTCACTGATACACCCCTTTCCGTTCCAAAGTTATTGAAATTTAAACATAGTCTTTCTTATCCTTATCCCCAGTTTTGGACGTAACTGTATTTTTCAAATTGTTTGTGGGTTGTGGTCATGTTAGTCGTCGATTTATTATTAGTGTGTGGTTGTGGATACTGTTAAACTTTTGATTGAGATCATAAATTGATGAATGCTAGACCACCATTGAAAACCTGAAAGCACTGGATAGCCGTTTCATGGATTGGCTGAAGTTAGTCATTAACACTACTGAATGCCGGATCAGTGGTCTATGGGTCAAGTGTTCATGTGCAAGACCGAAAGTCCCGGGTTCAAGTCCTGTATGTTTAGTCGAGGGTTCGCACTGCTGAGAAGTCCCATAATAGGTCGAGAAGGCCATCCGGTGCTCCCAGCTTTCCAGTGGTGGTCTAACATTCATCTGTTCATTCGTGTATCCTTTTTCACTTATCGGGATAGAATAGGGTGTGAATCAGAATCGGGAATAAATCGAGTAGTGTTCCAGTCGTCTCGTCCTGTCTCTCGCGGGCCTCTCAGCCAGTCAGGAAATAGAATAATTTCCGTCTGTCTACCCAAGGCAGTCAGCCTCACTTCGAACTCGCGCGTTTCTAGCATCAAAGTTAGATCAGTCAGCGTATCACGTCAGGGTCTTAATCTTGATTGAGGACAAGTTATCTTGTGTATATAAGTGGGTAGATAGACCAAGTATGTAACAAGTTATGTGTGATATTTCTTAAGATTTTACAAACAAAAGTTAGAAATAGGAATAATGTATTTGTAAGATCTCATCCGCTGAGATTTTACAAATATATTATTCCTATTTAATGTCTTACATCAACTCGGAGCTCAAATACTGTGAAACTATTCGCTCTAATTTAGACGAGAGTTCTTATATAAAAGTTAGAAACTATTATCACAAATATAGTTTAAGTAAGATAACAACTCTGTACTCTGAAGACTAAACATTTGCTAAAAGTATCACATGTTCTGACCTTGATTCCTAGTGTAGTATGAAGGCCTAATGTTAATCAGCCTTATATACAGGCGGAACAGTTGTCCAATACTTCCTGTCTTTTTTAAATAATCATGAACTTTTCTCGTATTTCACTATATATACAGCAGTTTTATTCTTATTCACGTGATTAGAGCATATTAGTTTCTCTTTGATACTGATGTCGATGGCGCATTTGAAGCTTTGAATCGTTACAATCTCAAGTTTATGAACGTTCCTGTGTTTACATTGTTTTCTATATTTGTAGTCACTTTTTCCCCATCAACTGAACAATATACAAAACTGTATCAGTATGGAGTTCATAAAGGTACCCTGGTGATGCTCAAAATGGGATTTGGGACTTAACACTGCTAAACCTTGATGGATTCGCTTTGTTAATCCACTTCTTAACCTAGACCTTACCATAAATGGTAAGGTGTTGTTTAAGTTTCATATAGGGATGAACTTAAGACAGGTACTCCCACAATTTGTCCATCTCAGAACAGATCTCCAAATACACTTCCAAGTCTCAACGAATTCTGAATCGCATACTTTATAACTTTTATAATAGCGTTTCATGTACTTTAGTGTACAAAGTATCTGTACGACCACCCTTAGGATACTCCACTTTTATACTTAATAGTGTTCATAAAAAGGACAAATTGACGGAGAAATCCTTTCAAGGGCGATTCCCACTGCATTCTTGGGGATGCTTTTGCCTTAAACTATAAATGCAGATTCAATAAGCTTAGATTCGACACATTTTGGAGGCAGATGCTTAAACTAAATGTAATCTCTTTCTTCATAATACTTAATAAACTGTCTTTTATATTCAATATTCAATATAACACACAGAAGCGTCTAGTTATAGCATCCTTAACTCGGTATCATCAGTGAAACGGTCTTATTCAACACATTCTTTCATTATGAATTATTTTACTGGTAAATTTTCAGGACTCTGAAGTGGTTCGGCTCTCTCTGTTTCTGGTTTCTTTTCTCTAGTTGAAAATGATTATAATCACTCCGTTACGGCACAGAAAATGACCTTAAATATATTGTTCGTGTATCAACAGAATGTTCTAGTTCCCTGACAAAGAATTAATGGTTTTCAAATGATCCTTCATACTATTGTAATCTATGTAAGATTCTGTGTATAACTCGGTCATTGAGGTAGAATCTTTGAATGGATTCTATAGTGAAATCCCATAATAGTTACTTACCAATCAACGTGAAGATCATGTATAGTTGAGATTATAACTTTCAGACATGTTTTAAATTAATCTCTAACTATTTTGAATATATACAATCATACAATATCGAACTTCGAGTTTGCGGTTAATTCAACAAGGGAGAGGTCATTTGTAATTAGTGGGAACTATAACGAACGTATTGATTTGTTTCCTATAGCATAAATTAATATAATTAGTATTCAGTTAACTTACATGGATTTGGTTTTGGTAGACATTTAGCGTCAAAATTAATGGACATAGACTTAAGTTCATGACCTTGTGGAGTTAAATGTGCAATTGGAATATTACGTCTAACATCACTTGTGTCCCTAGGTACTAGTCAGACAAAAAAGGAACAAATATTTGTTTAATAGTTGAACTCAATAGTCAATTTAAACTAAACCACCATCGAAAACCTGGAAGCACTAGATGGCCGTCTCGTTCAAGTATGGGACTGCTCACCAGTGAGCATCCACGATCCCGCACACGGGACTCGAAGCCAGTGCCTTCAGTCTCATGCGTGAACGCTTAACCTCTAGACAACTGATCCGGCATTCGACAGTGTTAATGTCTAACTTCAACCACTTGCGTGACCATCCACCATTTTATTCAACGAGTAACTGCATCAAAACAGACATAGTTGAACTCCCCTGGTCATGGCTTCTTACTAGAACTCCAGAAAACTCATCTTGATGCCGGTCATTTGTGAGTACATGGTACTCATAAATGAAGGTCAGAATATAAACTTAGCCCATAAGAAAATATTATAAGACTCCGATTTGTATACCTTATCAAGTTATGTTGACCAAAATATAAATCGTAACATTTTCAGTATTGAAGTCTTAATTATCTCTCGCCAAAAAAAAGTAAATAGTTACCTTAAGATAAACAATAGTTCCAGAATAAATTGAAAATTAAGTTCTATGTGTTAAGTTTAAAAATGATAGTTCACATTGGAAATATTCGAGGAAAATGGATGAAGTAGAATGATGTTTCTTCAAATTATCGTTGATTGTTAGGTAATTTTTAAAGTCAAAACACCAAGTATTATGTTAGTTGGTTAGAAGTGATTGAACAGAAGCCCTGGATCCAGGTTTTACTATAGTTGACGCTCATTATCTAGCTAGACTTTAAAGCGAGACTATAATTTATGGATGAGCCAATCAGAAGTGTTTGACGGATTTCAAGGTCACTGCGTCAATTTCAGTACCTGATGCTCATGTACAATCGGTTAATAGAGGGTTTTAGAGAAGACGTGACATTTAAGCTGCTACAATAAATGCGACTATTAAGAAGTTCCTTTATATGTAATTACGGTAATCAAATGACTTGTAGACCTTGTGCAGACTACTGTGATGTTGTCCTTCAATGTAACATATGTTGGAGGAAGACGTTTGCTAGAATAGGAACCTTTTTTACGCTCAGCATACTTTGATAATTGCCACGAACTGCATAATAAAAACACGAGTAACATTGGCTGAAATAATAGCAGATGGACGGCCGTTTCGTCCTGGTATGGGACGGCCATTCAGTGCTTCCAAGTTTTCGATGGTGGTCTAGCTTAGATCGACTCATGAATTCAACTACTTGTTATTTAATAGTACTGTCGAAAATGATGATAAATCATATTGTTTATTTTATACATTCATTACTTTCTTGATGAATTTATTAATAAAGCGACAACCACTTACCTGAATTCGGATCAGACTGATTAATTCCTCTTGCTGAACGACAATAATGAAGTGAAACTGACTCCACAGGATTAGAAAGTGTTGATACGTTTGTCGATTCATTGGACAAACCACTGTTATTAACTTTTAAATAGAAAAGCAAAACATGAATAAAAAACGATGAAACTCGGGGTATTCTGATTAATTACTCCTTTAGGGAAAAAATTGATTTTTTTTTCAAAGCTTTTAAATCATAAACCGATCTCAAATAAACCATCAGTAAGACGCTGGGAACACCAGACAGTTGTTTCATCCTAGTATACAACTCCTGCACAGTGGGCATTCTAAAGCCCGACGAAGGAAATCGGTCCTAGGACCCTCAGTCTCAAATGAGAATGCCTAAACTATAGGCCACTGAGATAAAATCCAATTTTGTTAATTTTTAACTTCAACTTACAATATTCAATGACCACTTTCCATTACCTGAGATGGATAACTGTCCCATACCCGACATGATTGAACTCCGTTAACATCAATTATTGATCAAGTTTCATATCGAATAGTAACTAATCATTACAATTACTATTAATAATATCAATACAAGATCAGGGTAAATGGTTAACATCATATTATGTTGTACTAAATAACTATGTAGAAACATAGTATATCCTAATTTATATAAAAGTTTGTATTTGGTAATGATATCAATCTAATAGCCTATCAGTTATAACAAATAACAGATAACTACGTAACTTATGCTTTGTTATTGTTTAACAAATGTGAATCTTCACAATTAAATTTGCAAGCTTTCATGATAAAATATGATAATGGTTCATTTTATTTTAATGATAATAGAGGGAACATGGTGAAGCCTAGTAGGCCGTTCTGGAGAAGTGTGCTACGTCGAAGCACGGCACAACTACAGGGGCGGGATAGCTGTTTTTGCACCGCCTACGCAGAACCATTAAATAACACTCACATTCGGGTTTTTTAATATTTGAGAGGCGAAATCCGACTCACACGTCCTCGTCGTGCCTCTTGGATCATGGCAATTATCCCATGTACTAACGTGAGCGGTAATGTAGGTGGTGGAGATCGGCCTAATCAACCACTCTACCTATACCCGCAAATGATTACGAATGCTACAAAGAGTCATTGCAAAGAAATGATAGATAATAATATTGAAGCCTGATGAGCAAGCATATGTTGTTCTTATATAAACTTCTCATTACATCGTATTACATCACAAATTCTGAAAGGCGAAAACATTTCAAACAATTTTCTTCGCTAAAGTAAAAGAAAGCTTACAATCTTATTTATTAGGGTATCATATCAAGATTATGCTAGGTTGTATTTGAATAATTGTTTTTCCAAAGTTTTTTCTTTGTAACCATGTTACAAATTATCTCAAATTAAATATTCTTTTTGAACGCTGGTTATTGTGTAAGACATAATAGTAGAATCAACAGGTAAGTATATTCAGCCTATCTGTTATCAAACAGAATGAGAATAAAGATTCCATAGGCAATGACTGGCAATATTGTATCATCTTAGTATCTAGTTTCATTGTGATCACACGAATAAATACACAAAACCTTAATCAAAAACCTTTAAATGAATAAAAATTTTATTTGACATATAGTCATATCGAACCAGATCTCATAAATTGATAGATAGACTCATAGTTCAAATGTTAATTGTTCATGAGGTCTGTCAACATCATCGACACTTTACCTTAAAAACATCATGACAAAACAAGACTAATATAAGAAATTCTAAGGATGATGAGGGAAAATAAAATATCATGAGTTATTAAGTGATTTCGGTAAAAGTATAATATACTGACGACCTAGAGCGAGTTATCAGCTAATCAGGAAACTCTGTCTAGTTATAAAAGTAATGAAATAACAGTGGAATAACAACTTTGATCTTGACAACTAATGTTCATACATCAAATTATCTCTTCTAGTAAAAAGAAATGGGGGAGTTAACATATATACATACATACTAGGTTTTGGGCTAATATTATAAGTTAGAGTTATTACACCAAAGAGTTTTCGTCACCAGCTGATATCAATCATATTGCAGAGAGATTGTGATTAGGTATTAAGAATTAAACTGTAGTTTTCAGTTGGGCTTACAAATCTGGATCATTGTTTTCAACCGCAACTGACATCAGCTATAAGTCAATGATTTACCACCTTCCTGTTTACAAACTTGATATTTCAAGTGAGAGAAGGAAAGAGAGAACATTATCTAAATTTACTAAACACTCTTGATTAAACAATTAATGATATTAAGCACTTAGATACATTATCTGCCTTAGAAGTTAGTATGTCAAGTAATTTAGCTTAAGAACCATCTAAAAGTCACTTTATCGTATGGTAGATATTTTCATTTATTTCCATTACTTTAAGAACCAAATACTGCCGATTTCCACTTGTTTAATAATGATATACATTAAATCTATCACTCTATTTTAAACTTTGCATACAATCATTATGCTGTTATCTTAAATTCAACTGGGTAACTCAAGACCGTCTGTATACTATACTTTTACTGTAATTTCATTTTTACTGCTCAAATATTTATAAACAGTTGTCTATGCAAAATACTCAACATCCATTGGACGGATACTATCAGCAACAGCATTTTATGGGAGAGGACAAACCAGCTTCCAGCTGAAGAGAAAAGTAGGAAAATACTTTGAAAGTGATTAGGACATACATTAAAGAAATCACCAATGTGCATTACAAGGCAGGCCCTAACTTGGAATCCGGAAGGGAAGCAGAAAAGAGGAAGGTCAAAGAACACACTATGCCGGGAAATAGAAGCAGATATGAAAAGAATGTATGTTAAATGGAAAGAACTGGAAATAATTGCCCAGGACAGAGTTAGATGGAAAATGCTGGCGTGCAACCTACGCTCCTCCACGAGGGGTAACAGGCGGAAGTAAGCAAATAAGTAAATATTGTTTACATGATTGTTAGTACACTTCAAGAAAATTGTCAGTGAAGTTGAGATTGACTATTTAAAAATGGTAGATAATTAAAAAGTTCTTCAAACAATCTATATATTCAATCATTCATAAGAATCATAATGATTTGAAACCTAAACCCTTTCAAATTGTTTGCTTCTAAACTAATTTAGTGACTTCTTCTGTATCATTATGTTTAGCTTGTTAAACAAATACTATAACATCTAACTGTTAACACAGATCAATGACATCAGACTAGAACATTTGGAAATCACCTCGAGATAGGTTACTAGTAAAGTAATAACTGTTGTTAGACTGTGTCGGTTTTCGAGCTGATTAATAAAAAGTTAATGGGTTTATGTTGATTGAATAACTAGTTAAGTTTTTTTTTTAAATCACAACTAAACAAAACCTTTTGATTATAATCATATGCTCACTAGTGACTGGAGCGTCCAGTGCTTCTAGGTTTTCCTTGGTGGTCTAGCTTCAACTGACTCATGCTGTCAACTATGAAAATGCTAAATATCCACAAAACCGCTTCTGATAACAATAACAATAATCATATGCTCACTAGTGACTGACTTCGAGAGTTAAATCCAGGAGTTCTAGTGAGAAGCAGTGACCAGTGGATTTCAACCGCTTCTGTTGTGAGATAACAACTCACTGAAGACAATTAGTGAACAGTTCCTCAATTTCGTGGATTGGTTGAAGTTAGACATTAACACCAAGGGATGCCAGCTCAGTGGTCTATCCGTTAAATGCTCTGGCGGGAGACTGGTAGGTCCTGGGTTCGAATCTCGCGAGGCGAGTTCATGCTCATGGATGAGCACTGCTAAGGAGTGCCACAATAGGACAAAACGACCGTCTAGTGCTTCCAGATTTTCCTTGGTGGTCTAACTTCAACTGACTTATGCTTTCAACTATGAAAACCACATTGTTTACCTAACTACAATATTCTTAACCAAGAACAATTTTTAATTAGATTAGAATTTATAAATAACTTACACAGTATGATAAGCAAAGATGGATAGTGGCTAGCAGTGGAATCCAGGACGCGCGTTTCGTCCTATTTGGAACTCGTCAGCCGGATGTACCTGCATCTCAGAGTTGATGTTCACTCTGGGACTCAAAACCAGTACCCTCGCTTCAAACGCCATCGCGTTATGCACTCGGCCTCTGAGTCCTGATAGCCACTTGCTTGTGCTATGGGGTGAATTTTAAATTCACTTAGTATTGTTTGTTTGAATCTTCCCATCGATGTGTTAGGACTGCAACTGGTCAGTCTCTAATTACTTAATGAGTTTTGAAATTCAATCAATCATTAATATTTATAAATAAGATACATGAAAATTAAAATATCTAAATTACATACCTTTAGTAACAACATTAATTTGACATTCATATGGGATAATTTGTAGACATAATGTTACCAGGAGTAACTAAAATAACAAAATAATAATAATAATAAAACAACCATCATAAGTATCACAAATTATAATTAATCAATCGATGTTTACTAGAACAAATATTGATACCGAATAATAGGAATTCATTATATTCCATGGTTTCTCATCAGGTGCTTACAACCAAATAGCATTGGGGGTAATAAATAGTGCGGAACAATTGACATAAGCGAATGTAAAGGATTGAAACTAATTGCATGAAAGATGTTTACTCATTCCCCTTTGTTTTGTTTTTGTTTATTCTTAATAATAATAATAATAATACAACTTATACCTTAATACATAAATCTACCATAACAACTAAATGGTAACTTGTCAATGGATAAAATTCAACTTTATATACTCCATGAATATTCCCAATTCAATTTTTTTTTATACTTTCAATAATCAATAAATTTTAATATTAATATTTAATTAAAATAAAATTAATATAAAAGGTAATAATATAGAGTTAATAAGAAAAAAAATATATTCAACAAAATTATATAATATATAATTACTGATTATAATAATATACCCTAATATAACATAGATTTTAAATATTTTTAATTAATTAATAATAATAGTAATAATAATAATAATAGTAATAATAATAGTAATAATAATAATAATAGTAATAATAATAATGGATCCAATTTACATATGATTGAACAAATCATTGATTATTCAATGATTTAACTCGAGAGAAAAAAGTAGTAGTCACAGTTCGAATAATTAACGTGTGAACCATGGGATTACAAAATAGTATGGTAAATTATATCAGTTCCTTCTAGGTCAAGATAATAATGAACGAGAATACAAGTGAAGAGAATTAGTTCATTGTTTAATACAAGATTATTAGAATATCTTGGTAAAATATAAGAATGATAGATTGTATGGAGTTGAGATCATGAGTCAATTGAAGCTAGATCACCATGGGAAACCTAGAAGCACTGCATGACCGTTTCGTTCTATTATGGGATTCGTCAGAATTACGCATCCACGGTCCTGCACTCGCGAGATTCGAACCTAGGACCTACCAGTTTCGCGTCAGAGCACTTAACTTAATCTCCACTAAACTCCTTCTGATAATTATATATTGATTAATTTATTTACGAATTTCTATTATTTTTCTAATTCACATTCTGTATGATTCCTTCAAATTCAAAATTCATTTTTATTACCATTTCCTACTGTAAGCCATTCAACATTTGATTGGTGTTACATACTACTTATAAGTAGCATATAACACATAGACATTAATTAGGATTTATCGAAAAGAAAAAAACTTCTTTATTCACTTGTATCATGTTATATAATTTGGAATCTCATAAGACTACTTACCTTTTTACTTACTTACTTTACTTACGCCTGTTACTCCCAATGGAGCATAGGCCGCCGACCAGTATTCTCCAACCCACTCTGTCTTGGGCCTTCCTTTCTAGTTCTATCCATTTTTTGTTCATTCTCATGTCTGTCTCCATTTCTCGGTGTAATGTATTTTTTGGTATTCCTCTTCTCTTTTGACCTTCAGGATTCCATGTGAGGGCTTGTCTTGTGAAGCAGTTGGGTGATTTCCTCAAAGTGTGCCCAATCCACTTCCAGCGCCTCTTCCCGATTTCTTCCTCCACTGAATGGAATCTGGTTTGTTCTCTACCACGGTAACTTGTTGCTGATAGTGTCTGGCCAACGGACACAGAGTATTTTGCGTAGACAACTGTTAATAAACATCTGTATCTTCTGGATGATGGCTTTCGTAGTTCTCCACGTCTCCGCCACATACAATACCTAGCAATATTTTATTAATTTGTTATTCAAGATATCTAAAGCACCGCATTAATTTTAATGGATTTGCTTTATAAAGCATAGTTGATATTTAATATGTATATCTAGATTTGAAGGATATTTTGATTTCAGTAAATAATTTAGTAACTCTTAAGCAGTAATTAAATAGAAAATACATAGGTGAATCAATTTACTAACACAAGGTTATGTAATTCAAAGCAAGTTTAAACAAGACACTTTTGATTGCAAAAATACTAACGAGTCATACATTGGAATTTCACCTAGAAATACCAAAGAAATGTTTTTCATCACTGAAAAATTCCCATCATATTCAATCACAATTATATGAAGAACGAAGAATATTATTTTCAATAATTTCTCATCAGGTTCTACAATTATAAATTAATAATCCATAAAAGAAAATTGGCCAAGTTTAAGGCAGAGTACATCATTTAAGAAACTGTAACATGTGAATCAAGGAGTGTTGTTTGTCATAGAAAATCAAATCGAATCGTCACTGTTCGGGGTTGACTAATATGTAGTGTTAACTTGAATCAGTTTATAAGTGAAATAAAATCTTAAGATAAACGATCAGAATATATGTAGTTGACATAGGGTGAGATAGAACAGTGGGATTACAAATCAGAGATTACGTAATATGATTAGATGGGGTAGATGCTGAATAAATTTCTCTAAAAGGTTAGCAAGTGTGATGATAATAATAATAATGACAATGGTAAGATGTATAGATAAAATAAGTTTAGGATATAAAAATGAACATTAATCAAATTAATGTCACCATATTACAAAATTGATTATTAACAAGTTGACCCTAAAGTTGGCAGGGTAAAAGGAGGGGCTGGATATATTTCTTTTGGATGCAAAGCTCAGGCTTTTTGATCCGAATAGCAATTGCCTCAACCGTCTGCAGAATTCTCAGTCTGACAGAATTAGGTAGACTGCTGCTAACACGATATATTATTGTGAAAGATTGGTCGATGTTGGCTCTATGTCCCGTCTGAACTAAATGAGCTAAAACAGAGCTGTTAACCGTTTTGACTACACCTTTGCTTAACCACACTGGGAGGTGCTTACGAGCCCGAGTCCACCACAGAGCACCACTTACCTTAATGTTACAGGTACACTTTGCTGACGAGTGTCAAATAGCACGAAATCTAGGTCAATGTTTCCAGACGTTTATCTCCAACCACCAGGTAGTATTTCAAAACAGTTCATTCGGTATTGACTCAGCTAGACTAATGATTACATTGTAACTTGGTCGATAGAATTCGATCTACACTAAGAAGAACCTGATATATAAGACATTGATCACTATCCAGTGACCAATCAACTGTAAATTCTCTGAGCAATATCATGTTATTGTTAAGTTTTTATTTTCATTCTGACCAACATAATTGACTCATACTTAATCTATTTTCTTACTTTAATTAATATGCTATGTTGGTTCTGTAAATGTGATTCATTTGATTTTCCAATTTCTAGATGAACGTTTTTTTCTAAACTGGTATTCATTTGTGCATTGAATTTGATCATAACATAGAAGTTTATTTCTAAGAACAATCTACATTTTTAAGTTAATTTCAGTTATAAACCAGTTGGTTAAGAGAAAGTTTGTCTTTGTTGGTACTAATTTCGATAGAAACTAAGTACGCGGTTGAATCAATTAGAATCTATAAAAGTACTTTTAAATTATTGATTGAAACTTAAATATAAATAATATTTATCATCTATTACGTAATCTGTACGATTGAATTATTGTCTTATAGTTTCATTTCCTTAACTCTTGAATGAATTTATTTAAAATAATATTTTAGACGATGATAACGTTGTTATAAAACTATATATTTGTTATATCGTGTGTGTGCGTACGTGTGCCCTGTTTGATATCTGAATTGATGATCCCCGCCTGTTAGAGAGGAGTGAAATATCGATCGGAGCTATGATACGTAAAAGCCGTATAAGCAGCTTTGAGTACTTATCAGTCCTGCTATCTGCTTAGCTCAGCCAGTTAAATCCAGAACACCAATAACGGCTTCTGCAATATGAATCATTATTCTCAAACATACTGGGTTTATATACCAAACAAACCGATCACATCGTACCATAAAATAGGAAATAACATTTGTACAAGATTTAGCCAAATGTGGCTATGAATAGGGAAAACAGTTATCAATAGACTGGGGATAACTCAATAATGGTAAATCGTATAATAATAGTCTATAAGTCAAAATAAAGCTCATAATAAGAGGGACACGAATATAGATACTTTAGTTACTTATCAACTATAAAATAGGAAATATACATATCATATTGGTCCTCGAAGTTACCATTCATAATTCTCCACAAGATACAACAATGTTGGATATATGAGAAGTGTTTAGAAACAAACCATTGAAATTATTAAATTTTCATCCTAATCAGTGATAATTCAATAATGATACTTTTACAAAATTGGAAAACTGACAATAATTCTTGGAAATTAATAAACTTCCCTGAAACCACTAAACTTTGGTAGGATTTTTTTTCTACATCTGTTGCGAAATATTTCTGATTTACATGTAGTCTCTGTTGATTAGATGAAAAAAATTAGTTTCATAATCTGACGGTTATTTTTAAAATGATTCAAGTTCGCGCTTATGTTGTACGTTTACTCAGATTTTCAAGTTTTATAATTTAAATGAGTAAAAGGAGTATTCCTCTGAATTTAAGTTACTAGATGATGATGTGAACAGAGAAACAAGAAGCCTTGACAAACTACCAAAACTATTTTTCGGGGGGACATTATTTCATTTTATTCAAAGCTTGTATAACAATAACATTTACTTTTGACCCTAGTCTATTCTACAGATCGTATAGCCTTTTTTGTTCCAAAGCTATTGTAATTTAGACGTAATCTTTTGTACTCTATTTTCTACTCTAATCCCCCAGTTTTGAACATAGTTGTATTTTCCTAATTATTGTAGGTTGTGGTCGGGTTATTCATCGATTTATTCATATGTCTTTTTACACAATATATATATATATATATATATATATATATATATAATTTTCCATTTTATTGGTTCGATGTGGTCAGTCTGTTTGGCATATAAACGCAGTATGTTTGAAATACAGTGATTCATGCTAGTACGGTTTTCGAGTGTCACTGTTCCAATCGATAATTCGCTGCTGTTTGATTAGCGGTCTTATCACGTCATACGTTAGCAAGGCATCCACTCGGCCACAAGATATAACAATAGGAAATCTTGCTCAGCAGCCAAATGAAACTTGATGGGAGCTCTTGGATTTTTTCGTCACTGCAATGCAATGTTCCATTCGTTTTGTGGTTGGGTCCCACAATCACAATTCCATGGAATCTATTGTCCTATGTGTGACGCGATAACTGAATCATAATGATGTCATTGTTCAGGATAATCGGAAGTGAGAAGAGACCGAATGAAGGCGTTCTTCAGGGTCACGCACAGTTTTATTTATTCTTTGTTTTCTCAGTTCGTTAAAAGTTGCATCCAA